ACTCGTGACTGGTGACATGCGAGCAAAATGCGATGGCGTGAGATACAAAAATGCGATAACGTGACTTATCTGACTGAAACTCAAGTCGAGCTAGAGACCACTGCTGAGAGTGCTGCCTCTCTCGCTGTTGAGAGTCCCAGAGATGTAGGACGTGATCACAATAGACGTAGACATAGTCGGGCACGACGCCCTAGCATAGACAAGATGAGAACTAAGTGCAGCTGCGTGGGAAACTCCATCGAAAACTCTCCTATTATTCCTATGTATAGTGTAGATTATATAGTGAATCGGACATGAGCCAGCTGAGTCACTGAAACATGTTTTCGATCCATTGAAACCTGTTGCAGAGCTCGTCCCTGCCCCCTCTCCATATTATACATTCGGTGAACTGGAAGTCCTGCCCTGCCAGGGTCCGTTGGTCTGCTACCCGGTCGTATTCCGCTTTCACGCTGCCCCTTGTAATTGGCTATGCTTCCTCATGGCTCGCTCATTATTTCCATGCCTTATGTTCACCTTCTGACCCCTTCATATGGTGCCAAGTTCCCAGGCTGTCAGTAAGGTCTTCTTTGCTCAATTTGGACTGTTCTGGCTCAGTGTTTGTCTTTCCAGATTGCAGCGACTTGCTATCCGATTGTGCGATAGTCGAACACAGTTTCTGGCATTTTTCTGATCACAGAATATCTCAGTGCGTATCAATGGAGTCTTCCGCAGTGCTCTGCGACTCATCCAGAGCAAACTCGTCATGTGCGACTGGGTACATCTGGTGTAAGAGTTCATCAGATGTGATGGTGGAAGTGGGAGTCATGGTGGTGCCAGTAGCCTGGATGGAATCCAGGTGAGTAGCAAAGAGGATGGTGTGTATGACAGGGCAATAGGACTCCGAGAGGCAGCTGATGATGAGCACGTGGTATTGCTTGTCATTAAGAACACCACCAGCTGTCGTGAACTCAGTTTTGGAGCTTCTGGAGCTTGTTTAGGATCAGCCAAGGATCCTTCTCCTCGATGCAGTGGAGAGCATGCATGCATCAGAGCAGTTCAGCCTGGACGAAGTCATCGCGATTGTCATACTCAGCGATGACTATCTTCCAAGCTCCAGATGCCTTCTTCTCAGGGATAATCCGGAGTTTGAGCATTTTCGGTAGCGTCTGGTACAGAAGCATTTTGATCACCTCATGTCTGGCTGCCCATGTGTCGTACGCATCTGCATATGCCTCATCTGCATCAAAATTCACTCCTGGAGCCATGGGTGCAGTAGGCTCCTTGTCGCAGCCATCGAGATATCGCGTCAGCTTCTTCACCATCACGGCAGACCTGAGTTGCTCCTTATAGAGCACCCAGTTCGATCCATCTTCTGCAAGGTGGGGGATCCTGACTGACGATTCGTGATTGCTGAGTGACATCTCGTAGTGGTCGGTGGGGCTCATAATCTGTAAACGGATGGAAAAGGAGTGGACGGGAGGACACATGCTAGAGTTAAAGGGCCTCAGTTCCTTGATGATAGAAGAACTATATTAGTATGTACCTAGAGTCAACTATGGTACATCAGTACATAAGCTACTTTCATGCGGGACAGTATCAGTACTCACAGGGCTTCAGTTTCTTGATGATAGAAGGACTGAAGCCCGCAGAACGAGTGAAGCAGGTGAAAAGTCTTACGGACGCTAATGCCTGATAACTACGTAAAAGAAAATACTAACTGATAAGTAGAAATATAAGTTAATACTTATCTTAGCTAGGCTTGATATTTCAACAGTCGGCACGCTGACCACCATCACGCCATGCATTCATCTCTGAGGTGCTTTTTCTTTTTTTTTAATATATACATTCATTTATATATCGCGCCATGCGCAGTTTGCAAGGCAGATTACATGGGAGGTCGTCAGAGCTTGTATGTTCTACAGTGTAAAGGGGGATTCCTGGCATGCTTGCGCTGTGCTGGATCGTGGTGCGCGACATCGTGGATGTCGTGGTCTTCGCAGTCCTGTATGGTTTCTTCTCAGGCACCACCGTCTCACTCTCGCTGTCCACCATTGCACATCTGATGCCTGTGTTGAAGGAACATTTGTTTTTTTTTAGCATTTATTTCTATCCCGTGCTATGTGCGGCGTGTAAAGGGAGGATGTACAGGCACGGGCGTATGCTACAGTGCAGCGCAACTCAGGGTGGGCATAACGAAGGGACAAATGGAAGGGCAGCAGAGCTGCAGGTGGGGTGATTAGCCTGGGTCAAAAGGCGCAAGACTCACAGAAGTGAAAGCAGGGGTGGTTGCAATAAAAAACACGAGACGGTCCAAGCCCTCTGGGTGTTTCCATAGGCGGCGGAGGTGGGTGCAGGTGGGATTGGCAATGCCAAATAGGATGTGCCGGGCATCATCGTGCAGCGGGCAGCTAAGCAGTGTATGGGTGCGTGAGTTAAGGAGCACAGAGTTGCAAATGCACCCGCGAAAATGACGGTGGTAGCGTGAGTTAAAGAAAGTGCCGATGTGGCCATGACTGATGACGGCCTGGACAAATCAACCCTCGGTGTTTCAAGAATAGTCGCCGGAGCAGAAAACAGAATGAAGGGTGGTGGAGGGGGCCCAGGGCCAGGCTTCACGCAGGGCAGTGAGACGATCAGTAGCTGCATATTCCACCTGCCAAGAGGAGGTCACTCGCTCGTGCACCCACCACTGCACCCACGCAATTGTGGGGCAGATGCTTTCAGGTTGGGACACAGCTGCCTTGGCGAGGCAGTCGGCCACTTCATTGCCCAGTACCCCACGGTGACCAGGCACCCAAACCAGCATGATTGTTAAATTAGGGAAATTGCCAATGAGCGACGTGAGGTGGTTTCAGAAAGTGAGGGAGAAAGGCTGCCCCGGGTGGGGGCTCAAAAAAAAAGGAGAGACAGGGCGGCGCGGTTGTCCACGCAGATGTAAATGGTGGAAATGTTGGGATAGGCATTGAGAAAGCCACGAAAATAGGAAGACACAGTCATGATGATGAAGAGCTCCACGTCGAAGACCTCAGCTCGATGCCTCATTCCCCATGTGCATTGAAACGTAAGGGCTGAGTGATGGTAGATGCACACACCTGCTCCTGCTGCACAATGATGGGGGGCTGGTAGTGGGTGAGAGGCTTGGGAGCCGTCGATGAACACCCAGAGGGCTGTGGGGTCTGAAAAATGAGTGGACAGAAGTGGATTAAGAACAGAGTCTACATGATGAGTGGATGCTTCCTTGGTGGGAGCAAGAATAAGCGTGATGACTCACATTCCCCATGGGTGCAGCACCTCCCATGGTGGTTGGAGGAACGGGTCAGTGCGCATGAATTCGTGTGGCAGTTCCTCTTCCAGGGTAGTGACTGGGGTGTGCTCCACCCAGCAATGGTGTATAGAGGGGTTTAGGAGGGTGAACTGGGGCGAGTAGAGGTGGGCCTGATCACTCATGCAGGTGGTGATGGGGTGATGCCGAGAAAGGGTGAGTAGTCACACAGCTGTGAGGTTTGACAGGCGTTGCAGCTGCTGTTTCATTGGGAGCACACTGACAATGAGGTTGAGGGCAACTTGTGGAGTGGATTTTTATGCGCCGAGGAACCACCGCAGCGCCATGGTTTGGACGCATTCAAGCGGATAGAACAGGGCTCACGGTGTGCAGGAATTGTACCAGACAGGGCTGCCAAATGTGAGCATGGGTAATACGGTAGAGAGGTAGAGGAGGCGGGCTTGGGTGATAGAGATCCCACGCTGGGTATTCGCAAGTTGGTGCAGTGCGATGACTCAGGACTGCGCGTGCACTGCCATGACCTGGATGTGATGCTCAAATGATAGGGTATGGTCAAGCTAGAGGCCGAGCCACCAGAGGTAGGGCTTCAGCTCTAGACCCTCTTGGTGACCGTTCCACTGAAAAGTTAAGGGTTAGAGGAAAGGCCAGCGGCCGACGGACAAAAATGAATGAGCTCAGTTTTGGGCATGCCGACAGTAAGGCCGAGCATGCCCAGGGAGTGAGCGATGGTGGGGAGGGTGTCCTGTAAGAGTGTGACATTTTGTTGTAGCGAGGGGGAGATGATAAGGAGGGTGAAATCGTCTACGTATCCTGCAACAGTTTGCTGCAGGTGGAGAAAGGGGTCGAGCGCATGATAGAGGGGAGAAGAGTAAATGGTGGATAGTACAGGTGACAGGGGTGAGCCCTGAGAGATGCCGAGAGTGGCTATGAGGTAGGAAGAGCCAAGCTCCCCTTGTAGTTTGGGTGAGACGGAGCGGTCAGCAAGGAAAGATGAGACCCAGCGGACTTCATTGGCGGGGAAGCCGAGGGACAGAAGAATAGAGTGCAGGACATCGTGACAGATGTTATTATAGTATCCCTCGATGTCCATGCAGAGGAGAGAGGCAGAAAAACTGATCACCCAAGCAGTGCAAACGATATGGGTTAGGTGCATGTCCGCATCGACGATGGAGTGCTGGGATCAGCCCCCAAACTGAGTGCCCGGAATGAGGTCAAGGGCACCGATCTGCCAATTGAGGCGTGCGGCCACCACTTTTTCCAGGAGCTTACTCAGGGTTTTCAGCAGGGCTATGGGTCGATACGCACTAGGCGTCGTGTAGTCTGGCTTCCCCAGTTTGGAAATGAAAATGAGCACAGCAACTTTTAGTGAAGAAGGAAGGTGGCCCAGTGAAAGGGATGAAAGGGATGCGGCTAGAAAATCATAAAGAGCGTGATGTGCTGTGGACTGCTAGAGCCATCAGACGAGCCTCCAGGAAGTTCCAGAGGGGCCCAGAGCTGACAAGAGGGAAGTAGAAGACAGTGCTGCAGACACCTCACTCTCGAGAAGGGGGTGGAGTGTCCACGGCAGTGGGTACGGAGGGGAAATGACAGGGTTTAAAGAAGGAAGAGATGGAGAAGGAGGAAAATAATGCTCAGTGAGCACTTGCCCGATGTCGTCAGGCAGGCTGAACGACTCATTGCGAGCATGAATGATGGACGGCGCCAGGGTGCGTTGCCCCTTGGTCCATGAGAAAAGGCATCAGGGGTTAGTGTGTTGCAGCTGGGAGGCTGCCACAATGGCCCACTCCTTACGTGCTGTGTGGATGACTTGTTGAAGGTCTCGCTTTGCACGTCGATGCTCCACGGTGCTGATGGCGTCCTGGACTCGCCATCTGATGAAGTCGCAGCCGTCATTCCACCACAGTTGTGATGGCTGGTGGGTGTGGGTGCATGGTGGGAAGGTGGTGATATTGGCTGCATTGATGGCACACAAAAGCGCCGCAGCACCCTGATCGAGGTCAGAGGTGGAGAAGTAGCTAGGGGGGGGAGGGTTGGTTAAAAGAGCTATGGTGAGGGCATCAAGCCACTCACTCTGTAGGGAGGGGTCCACGCAGAAACCAAGGTCAACTTCCATGGGAGCGGCCTCAGTGCAGATTGTATAGGTAATGAGGGAATGGTCTGAGGTCCAAGGGGAATCCTCGACAGCATACTGTGAAAGAGCGAACCGGGGGCCGCTCGAGGCCCATACCAGATCGATGATAGCGCCTGTGGAGGGATTTCCTCCGATGATATGCGTGGGGAGGTGAGGCTCGGTGAAAAGCTCTAGATGACGGTCGACGGTTCATTGGACCAGGTCATCCGCCCCTTTAGTAGTGGTGCGGAAAGCGCGATGCTCTCATGCCCAGAGGGGATGGTGCATGTTAAAGTCCCCGCATAGCAGGAGTGGGATTTTGGGCAGAAACGAAGAAGAAAGAAGGTGCCGGAGGCTGGACTGGCCAGTCGTGGGCGTGTCGTTATAGACATTAACGACCAAGAATTGGTCATCGTGTGATGAACGAGATACGAAAGACAAAACGAGGACGTCTGGGTGAGAGGAGATATCAGAATGGAGCATGATGTGGAAGGAGTCAAAAAGGTGTTTCCTCACTAGGCAGCTGACGCATGGCCTGGGGGTTGGGTTGGAATGAGGGAGATAGAAAGTAATTAGATTAAAGGGAGCCGCATTGACAGTGCTGAATACAGGGGCACCGGATTCTGCCCCGTGAGGGGTGTCAGACCCGATGTGTCCCCACCAAGGTTCTTGGATGAAATACAGATCAAAAGAAGAATTGGCCAGAAGGCCATGGAGCCGCAGATTTGAACGGGCTACATTCAGTTGTGCAGTTGTAAGAATCATGAAGCAGCGACAGTGGGCAGCGAAGGAATGCGATACTGGGTGCGGGCAGTGCAAGACGGGTCGGCGGCATGATGCTCACCATGGATTCTGCAGATGCAGCAGAAGAAGTGGGTTGGCGGACACGGGACGGTCGCAGGATTGTTCTCAAGAGCACAGGCACTGCAAGCGTTGTGGTGCTGATCAGTAGTGTGGGTGTCTTTGCCGCAGAAACAGCAGAGGGGCAGTTTGTGCTTGCAGAAGCACTCAGTGTGAGTCAGGGCCCAGCAGCGTGTGCATTGGCACAGAACGGGTTTGTCCTTAGAGCGCTTCACGAGGAGCCGAGCTCCTATGAACCAGACAGACATAGAGGGCTCACCACGGTTGTCGCGGCTGATCAAGAAATGCGAACAGAAGTCCCGCTTGGGGTTTTCGATGGAGAAAATAAGGGGCACATGCTCCTGCGTATCCTCTGACCCCGCAAAGGTGGTGAAGGCAGGTATGCCATTGAAATAGATGTCCGTGAAAATGGGGTTGGTATGAAGCTCAGTCATGATTTCTTCTCCAGTGAGCAGAGACCCGCTCATGAGGTGGCGCCTCGGGCATGCCAGAATGAACAGTTTAATGGTAGGCAGGACAGGATGAAAACCCTGGGGCAGCGCGACAGTGCATGCGCCCGTTGGGGTAGGGGAGGCAGCATGGGGCTCAAGATTGAATATGATGCGGATGGCCCGCAGAGCATCTTGAATAAGGGTGTCCAGAGAGTCATGAGAGAAAGTAAGTAGCACCTTGTTCAGGGCAAGGCGCATGCCACGAAAAATTACCTTTGACCAGGCTTCTGCTTCCTGGATGCGCTGGGTGATGCGTTGATACCAGATGGCAGGGGCAGTTGCGCGAATGTGGGTTACCTGCTCCGGAGTGAGCAAGGTGTGGTAGGTTTTGTCGGTCAGTGGCGGCGGCAGAGACGGTGCCTTGACGGCCATCTTCTTGGCAGTGGGCTCAGCAGATGCATTGTCCCTGCTTGCTGTTACGGTTTCAGCACTTCATGGTCACGTGACAGTTTACGTTGCACGTGACACTTACTATTTATGGTTCATAGGTCTTGT